GGTTCCACTCTAAATTCGATTTATTTTCTGTGATCTGGTCCTATAATCATATTATTTTCCTTTTTTCATCATCAAAATTAATTCAGCATTTCTCTTACGAGCATCGTATCATTGTTTCTTACACTGTAAAAAAAGAGTAGAGTAATAAACCCTTGCTCTAAGTACAAATTTTCATAAACTCTTGAAGGGTTTATGATGGTGGCATAAACCATTCAAGGGTTTATGAGACGAAGGCTTGATGAAAGTAAGGGCTTATGATAATAAAAAGGGTTTATTATACTGGAATGCAAGGAGTAGGGTTTAGTATTTGACTGTTAAGGGTATATTATTTTACGGTTCTAGCAAATGGGTTTATTATTTTACACTCAAGGGTATATTATTCTACGGTTTCAGCAAGAGCGTTTATTATTCTACGTTGAAGAGTGATTATTCTACGCTTATAGCAAAAAGATTTATTACACTTGGATTTGGTTAAAACTCTACATTGTTGTTCGAATTCTTTGATTTCATTTTATTTTCAAGATAAGCTTTCTTTGCAAAGTCGCATAGTGTGACGATATTGATATGTATGAGAGTGTGTAGTTATTTGTTATTTTATCTTAAAGCAATATATTGAAAAATATGATGAATATTTATTTCCTAATTAGTTTGGTATTTACAGACGGATTACACGTTCTGTCGAACATTGAGACAATTCATTGAATTAGCCTACAATAGGAAATAATGAAATTGGCAACGATCTTTCTTGGCCTACAGCATATAAAAGCAGCTTGTATCTTTCAATAGAAAAAAACTATCATTGATACGGACATTACAAAAATCCGTCAGTTTCTAAATGAATATCTATTAATTTTTAATTTTAGATGTTTTTATGTCAAGAATATATAACGTGTTGGACTTTTGATCAAGATGTCTAATGATCCAAGTCACTTATTCATGATCACACTATTATATCTTAATTTCAAGATTTTTCGTTAAGTTTTATGCTTTGTGAAGAGTTCCTCTGTTCGCTGATCAACTAGCATAAGTTTCACACCATATCGAGAGAAAAAGATTCTGTTTCATATAACGACTATTGGAACAAACAGATACATTCAAGGAATAATGTAAATGTTCACATTAACGATCGTAATATACTGCCATATTGCCGGATACGCAAAATAAACCTACCATTGCATGTAGATTTATTATTCTCTTCTGACTTGATGCTACCGTACCATATGAATGTCACAATACTATCCATTTTTCAAACAGAAAAATCTTCTGACATCTCGCTTCCATTAAATCAACCTACCTGGAGTAGATCTAATCGTTCATCGTTCTTATAGTTTCACTGAAAGTCACGGCTTTATCACTATTGAAAACCACTTCAGTAAAATATTCCATTTTTTCATGACTTACAGATAATACAATTGTCCACACCTTAGGTAGATGAGTTTACTGAAATGCTGGTTTTTACTTAACTGATATATAATAACTACTCAACCAATATGTAGATGAGTCGATCAGACAATATTCTTCTTCTTTTGCCTCCATTAGACATGACAATAATCTCTAGTAATGCTACTAACGAGGGAACTATTCGAAGTGATCCATCGCGTTTGGTCCCATATTTTGCCCATAAGTAGGGGACCTGTAGACTAGAAAAAGTCTAAGAGGATATGGGCCCATGTTGCGATCTGGCTGAGATATTCAAGTTTTACTCAAATTTCTTTCGAGGACCC